ACACCTAAAAATGTATCAAAAAAACTTTAAACACATATTTTTAACAAAAAATTCTTCGAGTACTAAACCGTTTATTCATTCTTTAGGCCATTATTTCTGTATTAAGCCTTCTCTTTAAGTAAAGGTGGGAATGATTAATATGGGAAGGGGAAAATTAGCCCTACAAACCTTAAGAAACACTCAATCCAATCACAATGGAATATGGTGCTCCTTTTTGGGAGGTCAAGGTGAAAAAGCATGTAGGCTCCCACCTAATAGGAGTTCTTTGGACCCACTTTTATTTATCACAGCATTCAATTCAATCCAGCCCTTTTCTTTCGTTCATACATTATTATTCTTACTTATTATCGACTGTAATTTTCTTTCATTTGCCCTTACGCCAACACTATAAGTATATGAACTCAGAGAGCATCCTCGGTGATTAAAAAAGATCTTATTCTTCTTAAAGATTTCGAGTTCGATCAACTGCGTCTATAAAATGTATGTATTGTCAATAGTTAAGAAAAATTCTGAACAATTACTAGTATACTACGTTATAATCACCCTAGACTATTAAATCAAATACTATAACTCTTTGTACAACATCTTCTAGTAGCTTTTTGGATAAATTTGGAAGATGAATCAAAAGGTTATCTTTAAGTATTTTTTTATATATAGGATGGACGAAGATTTTATGTTAGGGAGCGAACTTAGACTTAGGGGGTGAATTAAAATTTCAGGAGACGAAAATAAATTTTAAATAAAAAATATATAGAAAAATCTAAAATATATGAAAATTTTAAATTTTCAATCCATCCTTGTGAAAGAGAGACGGGAAAGATAAGAGTATAATGGGGAAATATATATAATTTTTTGTTTGTGTTTTTATTTTTTTTTTCTTTGTATTTAAAGTGTTATAAGTATATACAGTTTGGATTATTATCATGTAATATAAGGACATTTATAATAATTCTAACATTATTTGGGGGAAATAAACTTTTCATCGACGCTACACCGAATAAATATCCATATAATATTATAATTTTTAATAATTTATTTTATAAATTAATATTCTAATACAATAGTTTATTTATGTTTTACTCATGTTATTTTCTATTTTAATTGCATTTTCTATGTTGCCTCCATACAATGATCTAATTCGTTTTAGATTTTGTAGAATTTAATATTTTATTTTAGAGAAAAAATTATTCTCATTATGCCTCAATTCATGATATAGTTTATACGATTTTTCATTAAAATTTAATTAAAAAAAAGATTGTATCCATAACGTGTTTGTGCTATTTTTTATATGTTCAAATTATTATAAATTTTTAAACATTAATAATTATTCTTATGTATTTTTGATAATTTTATATATCCTATCGTATCATGTTACTTTTTGTTTATATTTTCATTTTAATTCATTTTTCATATTATTTTATATCGTGTTTTAATTCATTAATATTTCGTATGATTTATCATTCCTATTTTAACCTAATTCAGCTTATTTTATTTAACCATTAAATTCTTACAGTTATCGTATGGTAATATATATAATATTTGCACGAACATATTTATCTCAATAATTAAAAGAATCTTTGTTGTTTTTAGACGTCATGAGTTTGAGCATCAGCGAACTATAACGGGATGTTTGAGTACTCATTATCAAATGATTGAGAGTATTTAGAACATATATTACTTTATAAACATGTGGCCATAAATTATGGTACAAAAATTTGGTGAACCAGCCTAATTAATAAACATGGAGGGGGGGACCAAACTTGCCAATAGGCAAAGCCCAAAGGCATCCCCTATAGTCTATACCTTGATTACTGTCCACAAATAATTTTGCTTGGTCAAATACATAAACTCACAAAACCCCCTTATTCAGGTAGAAGATGATAATATAAATGAAGGCATACATTATACATAGCAATGAACATTTCGTTTGCATAGCTGCAGTAATTTATGCTCATCCGGTCCCTATACAAAGTACTTGGACCTAAACTAGCAAATGAACCCTAATATCATCATTTTTTTCACTTAAATACGTTTCTAGAATTTGTACTCTTCAAAGATACAAGTTTGACTTATAATTTCATTGGTTAATACAATTACTTTTAAAATATAATATCAAACGACTCTAAGATTCGAATCAACACATCTTTAATAATTTATATATTAAATTTCATCTAATATATACAGTGATAGATAACACGAGGGTGGATACTAAAATCTGGATTTTTTTTCGGATAATTATATATTTTATTGATTGTTCCCATCTTAAAATGTTATTCTTTCTCACACAAAAAAATTCACGATGTTCATGTGTGTGTATATTTATCCTTAAAAATATTTTTGAATATGAACTCATGAAATTGCAATTTTTTCTTTCCTTCTAATGGCAAAGTTGCAGCGGGGTGTTTTTATTTGGTGGTTGTCATTAAAAATATGGGGTGCACACTATTCTACTAGCTATGACTTAATGATCTTATCAAAAGATAAAACTATTTCTTTTCTCTTTTTTTTTTTAGCTGTAAAGGTAAAAAATTATAGGGGGTGAGTGGATGAGACATAGTTTCAGGGGGACTAAAGATGCTTTGAATTAGAGTGGAACGAGAGCTTTGCCTATGATGTTATACTGCTGGGGCATGGCATTTGTTGGAGTAAAATTGATGAAAATTTGCCAATTTAATTCTTAGGTCTTCCCCCTACGTGAACAATGAAGCTCAGTTGCCGGATTATTTCCTTTTTTTAAAAATGAAATAAATTTCTTATTACTGTAATGATAAGAAAACTTATGATATTATCAAGTCTCAAGTCGACACTTACTTTTTTTAACAATTTGAGCCTTGAGGTAATTATAACATAATATATGTTCCGAATTTTTTTAACATATTAACAATGGATACACATTCTATAAAAGGAATTACTAGAACTCGAGTCCTCTAGAAAAACAACGTTACCCTTTATTTTTAGATTCAAATATTAAACAATCCCAGCATACACCTAACAAAATGCTTTTCTCTTTCACATTTTGTGCAGTGTATTTGTTTTTGCTGATTGACAATATGCTGGAACTGGGCTCTAAATTTCATGGATTAAAACTCTAATTGTGTGGGTTTTTATAGTGCACAAACACTTTTGTTTTGGGATCTACGGTATTTTCTAATTTCTACAGTGCATGGAACTTGTCACGTCGAGGTGATAAGTTCCAATAAAAAATATTTTTTATTCAAACTTTTTACCTCGATGTGATAAATTTTAATAAAAAATAATATTTTACTGGAACTAGTTATCTCGAAGTGATGAGTTTGAATAAAAAATATTTTTATTGGAACTCGTCACCTCAACATGACGAGTTCCATGAATACTGTAGAAAATGACAGAGATCGCAAAATAAACTTCAACTTGTCTTATTTTTCTAAATAATTTATCCGTTTATCCTATTGGGCCAAAAATAAACCATTTTTATAGCAATGGTTTTTTGGACATAATACATTTAGAGTAGTGGGTAGGAGGGCCCATTTATTGTGAATGTTTTCCGTCATTTGTATGACGCAAAGAGCATGCAAGAAAAGGACAATTATAACTATGATTTTGGTGATGAAGATTGATAAGAACTGATGATCATATGAAAAATGTCTCTTCATTCAATGTATTGTTTTCTTCATTTTTCTCCCTTTTCTTCCTACGAAGCGGGTCCGTTCTTTTCATCTCACGAAGAACAACAAAGGGGATTTTCGGCAGTAGCAATTAGCAAAAATAGGGTTTACCACAACATTCGACACGAAGTCCAGAAGAAGTTCGCAGAAGAAGAAAATACATGTTTTGGCATATTATTAAGATTCTACATGTAGATAAAGTAGCCATAATCAAACGACATTAGTGGTTAAGGGATCGTAGTTATCCTTTAAAGTCTCGGGTTTGAGCACCACATATGCAAGGATATGAACAATCAACGTTAAATGATTGAGAGAATGTAACTGAAGTAAGATATTCTAAAATAGGTAAAATTTATATATTATAACTCCTCATTTTGCAAAATTGTATATGCCTTCATTCTTAAGTAAGAATGAGAACCAACATTTACAAAATTTACTTACCAACCCAAATAGATGAGCCATAGAACCACCACATAATCACTACAACATATTGCCCGAGGCGTCGAAAACTTATATTCCATGTCTTTAGACTTTAGACTTAATTAATTGTGACAGTATAAATTGATTATGATTACTGTTATTAATTTTCATGTTTTGGAGATTGATTAACACAAGTTATATAGTTTCCTTTTTTTCTGTTTGCTTTTGAGTTTTATAGACTGTAGTTGTAGAAATATGGAATTGGGCTATCATTCTCAAATGAGTTAGCAATCGCGTTCATCTGTTTTAGTCCCGCTGTACTGGTGCAGGACAACACAAACCCTTCATCTTTTTATGTAAACCATTCTACTTATAAGAAGTAAATCTTCAATATGTCATTGATCATACCAGGTTATCAAAGCAAATGATGATTTGACTCCAGAACACTACAGGTTTCTTCTTTATCAGCTTCTTCAGGGCCTAGAATACATTTATACATTCTCTTAAACTATTGATTATGATTCTTCTTCTTTGGATGCAGATAACATATTGAAAACGCATAGATATTATGCAATTCAAGTTCTTGTTGGTTGCTTCTCATATCCTTGTTTTAAATGTATGTGTTCCTATAACAAATGCTTTTCACCGGAATCTAAAGCCAAAAAGTATTTAGCCAATGCTGATTGAACACTGATCAGAAGTGTTGGTATCAGAAAAGATTTTATGTTCTATTCAGTGTTTTCCACAAGAAATGTATTTGTTTTCTGACTAAACTCCCCATTGCGAAAAAAGAGTCTAAACTAATGATGAATATTGATATCTCTAAAAGCCTAAGGACGATCTATTAAGTTCGACATTCAACAAACCTACTAAAATACTACAAACCAGGGCAAGGTTTGAATGAAGATTTCGCCATAAAGTGAAATATGAGAAATGTAAACTAAGCGTTTTAGGCTTTAACTATTTCGATAGAAAGAAATACACCGAGTTATCTACAGCAGCTATGTATTAGACGGAAAAATCCATAACAGTTGTGCAAAAGTGCAGCAATCTTAGCAAATTAAGATATGCTAACCACAATTCTCATCTCTAAGCTTAAATTCAAAGCGAAGGAAACAAGGAAATCTATACCCAAGTCATGTTTTAAGAACACAAAGCTTCAAGCCTTCTTCTTTTTGGATTTGAGCAGCACCAACCCAATAAATATGCAGAGGAGAGAAAGAAGCACCACACCAGCACACACGGGGATCAGAATGGCATATTCCTGGGGCAGGAAATAGTTGTGGATGAAGTTATCGCTGTCCACAAATGGCTGAAACACATGACCAATAGAATTTCTAGAGTCACAAATCAATCAAATGTTCATAAACATGACTGGGCTACGATCCAATCAAATCGAAGATAAATTACTTGAATAGCATTAGATACTGACCAGGATGATGACCCAAAACGTGTAATATGTGAAAATGGATAAACTGGTAAAAGTTAATAGAAACCCAACTGCTCGATCCGCTAATTCCATTCTCTGATAAAATCAAAAACTCATGATTTATAAATTCACTATCTATGTTTCCCTAGTCCGTTACCTTCCCCGATAATTTTTCGAATTGGATCGCAAGATAAAATCCCCATTAAGAGAAATATGACAGAAAAAATAACGATAATAATAATTAGGTTTACCTTTGCAAGAACAGAAACTGCTAATTGCTAGCTTGGATTACAACGGTGAGGAGGAGACTGGAAATAAAGAAAATGGATCAATTGAGTGGGGGCAAAGATCGAGGGAAAATGCGGAGGAATTTTTATTGGATGAAAACGCAGGGTTTGGTCCTTCGTAAATTTCTTTGATTAATTTGAGGGGTTTTTTTGGGTTGAATACACGTGTATGAGGGCAGTCTAGTTGTCCGTTATATCAGTTAATAACAATTTCTCTTATTCTTTTGGGGGATTTTGCAAAAATATTGTGTCTTTTTGTTTTTTTACATCTGTTTGACAACGAGATCAGGAACGCGATTGGCCTCTCTTGGTACGTGTTTCAGATCAACCATCCAATTCCTCCTTGGCAGGTTCTCTATGTGTTAAAGAATCGTTAACTTTCTTTGTTCAACCGATCTGTTTTTGATTAGGTTAATAGTCTCCTTATTGTGTGATTCAAACATCACATTTCTTTCCCCCCTCATCCAAGCTACTTTTAAGCCCTCATGAATACCCCACAAATCTGCTTCCAGAACAGTGCGAATGAACATATAAATGTAACATTCATATTTGTTCTTATCATTTTATGTATCTTTTATTCAAGTTTTTTAGATGAGTTTGTAACATTTTCTTTACATAATCCTTATATGATCTTAAGTAATTAGTTATGTATGTTAACGATTATAAATATACATCTAATTATATGTTCATTGTCATGTTCTTTGTTCATTGTAATGTATATGTTTTTTTTTAGAAATTATTCTTCTTAAACCCTAAAGTTTCAAGATTTGTTCAATCAATGGAGAATCGATACTACAATCTTTTTCCCTTTGTAGAACCATTCGATATTGATCTATTGTCAATTAATTCGGATTTAAATATTCTATAGATATATTATTAGAGTGATACTTTTAATTTAATTTGTTCCATTCGTGATACCATGATTTAAATGGAATAAATATACATCTAATTATATGTTCATTGTAATGTATCTCTATTACATTTGAGGTTCTTTTTTAATCCCCAGTTAATTTGGTATATGTTTTTTAGAAAATATTATTCTTAAACCCTAAAGTTTCAAGATTTGTTTAATCAGTGGAAAATCGATACTACAATATTTCTCCCTTTGTAGAACCATTCGATATTGATCTGTTGTCAATTAATTCGGATTTAAATATTCTAGAGGTATATTATTAGAGTGACACTTTTAATTTAATTTGTTCCATTCGTGATACCATGATTTAAATGTAATAGAGATACATTACAATGAACATATAATTAGATGTATATTTATAACCATTAACATAAAGAACTAATAACTTAAGATCATATAAAGACTGTATAAAGAAAATGTTACAAACCCATTCTAAAAACTTGAATAAAATATGCATAAAATGATAAGAACATATATGAATGCATCGCAAACGAACTATAACAGGAGATTAAACCATTGAAATATCACATATAATCATAAATCAGAGTCGAATTTAGTGAGAAAATCATCTTTAAACGAAAATTGCGTATCTAAATTCAATTCAAGGGTCTAAAGCATGAAAGATAAACATGATAACAGATAAGTGTCATTTTAGTCAGTCGATGAGTCGTCAAGCCCAACCCTAAAAAAATTAAATAAAAAAAGGTCAAACGACTCAAAACATGTCAAAAAGATAAAATAAAAATATATCATAAAAGAACAAAAACATGTTATTGAAACAAAGTTATTGAATTTTTTTAAAATGTGATATAAGAAATACAAAAACGACAAAAAATATGTATGTTATCGTAATATCATGCCTGAAATATTAAATTATTAAGGTTTAATATACTTTTAGGTGCTTAAACTATACCTTAAATTGACTTTTGGTGTCTACGGAACTTTTTGTTAAAAATAGATGCCTAATGTTTTTTCCGTTATGCCTTTAGATGCATGCCATTAAAAAAACTGTTAAATGACATGTTTTATGTTTTATATATATATATATATATATATATATATATATATATATATATATTAAATAAAATATTATTTTAAAAATTGGACGTGATATATGTCACATAACGATTTTCTTTAAACGATAGACACCTTAAAATTTAACAGAGAAAACATTAAATACCTATTTTTTTTTAAAAAAAAATATTTAAACGTCAAAATGTAAATTTCAGATATAGTTTAGGCAACTAAAATTGTATTAAGCCAATTATCAGTTTTTTTTATAAATTAATTTTTTAATGGGTTATCAGATTGATTGGTGTTTTTATATTAATTTTACCTTTCCCGTCGATTTTAATACAAATAATGACTTTCTCGACATGTATGTTATTACAAAAATGAAAAGTACACAACCAATTACTGCTACATAACAGATATTAAAATAGCACGTAAGCTAATAAATTATTTCTTAAGAAAGCTATTAAATTAGCATTACACATGAAAATAATGATTCATTCAAAAAGGGATAAATAATAATTACTGTCACTAAAGTTTAAAGAACCGGAGTGTATAAAAAGGTTTCTCTTGCTATTAAACCCACTTACTATAATGCCCCAAATCATCTTGGATTAGCGTGAATTTAACTCTATTAACTTGAAAAGAAAAAGATCACTCCGATCACCTATAAAAATACGCAAAAGTGTTAGAATAATGGTTCGAAAAAGGAAAAGGGTAAATTACACACTTATTCATTGAATTTTATTCACTCATCGTATTTTTAATTTTTTAATTTACTCACTAAATTTTAGGCATTGAATTTTTTTTGTCATTCGACCGTTTACTCAGTATATGGTGCTCAAGTGGCTTATTTAATAAAAAAGCATGCCATGTAGGACTTATGATTAAAAAGATAAATTACACATTTACTTACTGAACTTTATTCTCTCTCATATTTTACTCACTATACTTTTAATTTAGCAAAGTCATAACATCGTTATAAATTTAAGGGTCAAGTGACTAAAAAAATTCAATGTCTAAAGTTCAGTGAGCAAATTGAAAAAATTGAAAGTACGGTGAGTGAAATATGAGAAAGAGTAAAGTTTAATGAGTAATCGTGTAATTTACGCTAAAAAAGCCCTATATAGAGTATTAGAGAAATTATTTTTTAAACTAGATATTGAATAATTTCTATATTAAAACTATTTAATTAGTTATGAAAAAAATGTAATTTAAAATAAAAATAAATTGTGGTAAATAAATTGAAAGTATTTAAAATAAATAAAAAGAGTTAAGATTACTCATAATAATTCATTTATTAAAGACCGAGGTTCACGTATACTCAAATATTATTTTACTCACAAACTTCCTTGTAAAAAGGCAAAAAAAAACCCCTCGACATAACAAAAAGAGCGCTCAAATCAATATCCTCGTTACCTTTTAGAAAAGATAGATCATTAAAATTCTTTATTAGGATTAATTAATGCTCAAGCTGTAAGGCTACTAAACATTGAAGCCAACGAAGAAAAAAACAAACAATTCGCCCGTCTCATAAAGCAATACTCGCACCATAACTAATCCTCATCTTCACTAATCAACCTTTGTTTCTCTGCATGCACAGACAATCCTTTGGCTCGCCGAGCTCCAAGCTCCGCATCCATGGCGGAGAAGAGAATTCAATCGCCGATGATCAGAAGCGTCAATTGATCATCCACGACGACGACGATGATGGTAAAGACATCAAACCTCGCCGATTGTCGTTCTCGCCTTCTTCGTTGTCTCCGACGTCTCCGTCGTTCACGTCGCTTACTAAGCCTGAGAAGCTCATTCACCTGATTCCTGTTCTTACTCTACTTTGCCTCCTCATTCTTTACCTAAATTCTCACAGTCCTTCGCAGTCTGGTACGCTGTTCTTGTTTTCGGTCAACGGCTAGAGCGAGGAAGCAAGTTTATTCAAGTTTAATCTTCAATTTGTTTGCTCGTTTTTTGAATTTTTGTTTCAGACTTGGCTCAGTTTAACGGATTCAAGCATCCCTCGAAGCATTTAGGTATAGTGCAGCTTGAATTCATCTTTTCTTTTCAATATTTTGAATTTTATGTTTCCCCCCCTAATTTTTGACTATTTCCAGAACCAACCGAAATCAGTGATGCTGGTCGATTTATTGATTCTCGGAGAGGCGATAATTTGGGGATCCGAAGCCTGAAGAACTTGCAAGAAGTTGATAAAAACGTCTCAAAATCTCGTCTCCACAGGAAAATAGCCGATTTCTAAGCGGCCTTCTCTAAGTTTATCCTGCTTTCTCCTTTTCTTTCCTCGCTAGTTCAATAAGTCCGCACGTATCGGTCACACTTTCACGTGCGAGCATTTTAATTTCTTGTTTTCTTAAAGCAAATATCTTATCTGGCAAGCTACGTTGTGGCACTCGATCAATCATTTGATCAGCCTTTTCTCGAGAAAATATGTTTCGTATATAAAACATAAAAGAGTAGAAAAAATTACATGGAGTTTGAAAATATTTTTAGACTAAAGAATTCAAATAAGTGCGCATTTGGAGGTTCTGCTGCAGTGATTTGGGATCGAGCTCCAGATGGGAATTCGGACGGTCAAAACACCTCGAATTGCGGCTTCGACACCAGCCAGAAAGTTGCACTAATCGCAGGAGCATATTAACTGCTTCAACGGTGATAATCTTATTCTTGATTTGATCTGATGTTTTTCTTTCTGTTACTGTAATCAAGGCTGCTCGTGTAATTAAGGTGATATAAAAGAACAATTTCAAATTTAAATGCATTTATAGAAGTTCCCTTGACTGAGATCATTGTAGCTAGGAGTTTAGGGGGGTGCAGATAGTGATTCAATTGGTACAGGATTGCTTCCAGGTGTTAAAAGTTGAGGGCGATGACGATGCAATAATTGGCGAGTTCAGACACAAGCCACAAAGAGTGTCGGTTGTCACGGACTAATTGGTTCATTCCACCTAGTATTACTCTCCCTCTTTCACTGTCTTTTTAACTTTTTCTTACTTTGTTCTTCCTAATTCTCTTACATTATGATATGTATTTTTATTTAAAATAAAAAAAATCCAGAATTATAATGAAAATTTATAAGTATGATCATAAACGTAAATTAAATTATAATTAAGATATATTTATATAACAATTGACACAGAAATTAACCACCTAGACCATACAGAGACCATGACAGGAAAATGTTAAAAAATCAAATCAATACTCGAACAAATTAAAGATGTGAACGAATATGATTGCATCAGCAAACGAAACATAGGATAAAACTACTGAAAAATCACCGATATATCGTAAATCAGAGTAAAGTGATGTGAGAAAACTATCAACGAGTGCAAAACATGTATCCAATTTAATTCGAGGATCCAAAGAAGAGAAGATCAACATGATAACAAATAAGCGTCATTTTGATTAGTCGTGGCGATGTCTAATCCAATCTTGAGAAAAAAATAAACGAAAACTACCAAAATACAGAGAAAAATATGTCAAAAAACAAAATTATTCTTATTAAAAAAACTAAAAAAACAATGAGAAAATACAACCAGCGGTCAACAAATAGTATCAAAACCAGTATAATTGCCATTTAAATAAAATGAAAGAAAATTTTGATTTGATATATAGAAATGACAAAAATTATAAAGGAGAAAAAGGGAAGAAAGGAGGGAGGAAGAGAGCTACATTATGATCTGGTTAATAGGTAAACACCTTGAATAATTGCTTATGGTTATTTTTTTTATTTTTTAAATTATTTTTTTTCTAATTCGGTCTCTTATTTTTTTTATTTTGTGTTTTTATAATTGTGATTCTTAACTTTTGTAATATTATTTTTATACTTAAGGTTCTAATTTTTTTTTCAATTCAACTTTTTGCATTTATAATTAAGGATCTTAATTTTTTTCAATCTAATTTTTACCTTTATAACCGATGCTCATAATTTTTTCAATCTCATTTTTTACTTTTATAATTGAGGCCTTAATTTTTTAATCCCATTTTTTACTTTTAGAATTTAGCCCCTGATTTTTTAATCTCACTTTTTACCTTTATATTTGAAGCCCTTAATTTTTCTAATATTACTTTTTATCTTTATAATTGAGGCTCATTGTTTGACATGAGATCGTTGGCTGCTTTGATTAACATTTCCTAGTTGTAGAATACACTTTTCCCCTATTTAAGTTTAATGAGGTTTTTATCGAGGCACATAACTCATGAATCAACCCTTATTAATAAGTAAATCTTTGCTAAGCAAAAAAAGGTTTTGGCTCCTAATTTAATATTTTTTCTATGATTTATTAATATAATATTAAATTAATTGTCCAAAGTAATATAATATATTGTCATTCTACAAAAGCTTATTTTTTAGTTTCGTTTAGGGTCTCAAAAATATCTAAGACGACTCTGCCCTTTTTTTCTAAAGTCTCATATTCTTCTTCCCTCTAAGTAGAATTAAGATTGAATTTAAATTTTATTTAAAAAATTGAGTTTCTTAGAGTAAAAGTTGATGGGATGAGATGGATGCCCCAATGGTGATGACCACATGTTGCCTCCTGCGTATTCCTTCCATCCCATAATTTGTGTCTTATATTGAATTTGTATATAGTTTTAAGAGATATATTCGATCATAAGAAATGATTAAATTTTCCTAAAATATGATTTGATAAATATAATAGAGTGAGACATATAACGGTAAAAAAAAGAAATATAAGTGATATTATTTATTGATTTTTCTAATAAAACATTTTAAAATGAAACAATTTTAAAAATCAAAGATAATTTAGTGGGTTAGTGGGACATGGAGAATATTACTCAAAACAAGGTGTACAGGGTTTCGTAATTACCTTTGGTCCCATCCCACTTGGGTCCCCAACTTTAGTGACATTAAAGTTATTTCTCAGTTCCTTGTAATGTCCTCAAAACATTAAAACTCTTGTCTTCAATATATAATTTTTTTTAATTTAATTAAAGCTTATCAACAAATCCTTGTCTTCAGTCATTTTGTGCAGTTCAATCTACTCTTATGCTTTTTTTTTTCATTTAAAATTTAGTTTATGCTAAAATCGTAATTCACTCGTGCTTGCTAAATATGAGACTCTGTGAACAATTTTTTCACACACAAATAATTGAGACGATGATTAAATATAGAGGGACGATGTTATCCAAGATCTTTAATTCATTTTAGAATGATCAACAGTCAATAGAAATATGACATGTGATATTTAGATCAGCGTCTAACTTTTGTTAGAAGAATAAACGACGTCTTATTTCTCAGTTTTTTTTTATTAAATATTAAGTTATAATAATTTTATGATATATACTATTAAATGTATTTTTTTTATTTTAGATTAAAACTAAATCTAAATAAAATAATATTATTAATAACAATGAATATTATATTTAGTAATAAAATTTAGAAATAATTTAAGATTAATTTTTTTAGGACTAGACTAATAAAATGAAAACCTGAGAGACAAGATATGTCAATTATCTTTCTTAGCAAAGCCACGCGTTTTTAAAGTGACACATTTAAAAAACATCTCAATTGTATGTTTAGTTTACGATTTATATTTTAAACTTTTATTTTAGTTTTAAATATTTTTATTTTTAATAAAATTAGCTGCTCCTATTTGAAGGAAAAAATGTCACATTTCTATTGGCTATTGACTTAAAAAAACTAAGTTAATGACTTGAGGTGATTTGATAACATAATTAAACGTTAAGAGACCAAAATTTTCAAAAATGAACTTTAAGAGATAGTTCAGTAAAATTGATACAGCTCACGGGGCAAAGGGTTAATTAATCCTAACAATACGGATAAAGACGAATCTCCCTCTTCGGATAATGTTGTGGGGGCCTTCTTAATTACGACAATGTCTCGTGACTGATTCATCATTTTTATAAGCTTCTCTTGCATTTTCAAATAATATTGTACTTTTGAGGTCAAAAATTGAAATGTTTTGAGAAGGGTTAATAATTTAAAATGAATTGAATTTACTTTTTTTCATATATTTAATTATTTGGTGTATATATGTAAAATTTATTTTTCATAATTTATTTATTTATTCTAATTCAAAATTTAAATCCAACTCTTTAACTTCAAATCTCTAAACTCTAAATCCTAAATATGACATATCACTAAAATAAATATATTTATAAACTAAAGTGTAAGTACATAGTTTATCAAATAATTTATTCGTAATATCATTTAATTTTTATTACTACTTTTTAAGATTACCCTTCATTTTCCTTTGAGAGTGGAAAACGCAGTAACATCTCTGTGTTGCTCCATAAATATTCATGGGGTTGGAGTTGACAAGGGGCAATTTGATGGTAAATTTGGTCTAATAGATCATGCGAGTAAAAAAATCAGTTCATTAGATCATCTCCAAAGTTAATTTAAAATCTAGGGTAAATGCTATAATATGGGACAAACTTGTCACTCTCACATATCGAGTTTGCCCAAATAATATTTTTTTATTTAAACTCGTTATGTCGAGGTAACTAATTCTAATAAAACATAATTTTTCATTTGATTTTATCACGTCGGAATGACGAGTTCTAAATCACTGTAGTAAATATCGTAATTCTTAAAATAAAATATCTTGTGCTATATTAGGTTAAATAATTAGTCCTATATTAGGTCAAAATTGCCCAATTTGGTTGTTATTCTGAAGCATTGAGCCTAGTGATGGTTTGGGTTAGTTGTTTGACTTTAAGAAGTTCTGTTATTGCTGGGGCTTTGACTGTATATATGATGGTATGGGTAGGATATTGTACGTGGTGCAGGTTTGTTTTCCGTTTATTGGTTAATGCCGTTGGCTCATGCTTCCGACATTTTCATGGTGTATCCGATATTTTTATGGTGTATTCTTTTTATTCTATTTAAGATTATATTTATTTTTAACGAGATTTATGTTTATTGTTTTGTTTTGTACGCTTCCCCTGAATGCAATACAAAACAATCCCGTTGAAAAAATTGGTAAAAGAGACAAAGAAAATCCTATCAATTTCATTGCTGTGTTCTTCATTATGGTTTCAAGTCATCCATCAAATCAAATCACAACTGATGAAGCCACGTGCTTCTGTGGCTTTGTATTTACGTGTTTGATTCAGAATAAAAGTGAAAGAAACCCACCAAACCCTGTGGAAATGAGGAGTTTTTGGGTCTAAAGTGTAATATAAGTTTAACAAAAGTCGCGAGTTAAAATATTATAAAGTATAACTTAAAATATTATAAATAACATAATATTTTAGGTTATGCGTAATTTAAAATATAATATTTTTTAGTATTTTTAATTGTAATTTAAGATAATATGAAAATATAATATTTTTTGTTGTAATTTAAAATATGTTTGCAATCGAAAAAGTAAGAAAAAATTAACATTTAAGATTGCACGTAATTTAAAATATTATGTTATTTTATAATATTTTAGGTCGCTATTTATACTAACATTATAATAAGTGGTTGTACCGTAGAATTCTCCGAACTGAGAAGGCAACAAATGCTAATTAATCTGAATAACCTTAGATCTCGAGAATTAAACTTTGATGATTAGAATCATTATGTATAAGAACCTAAAGTTGCAATAACAAAATATCAGAATCTAAAATCGTTTTTAAAAATAAATTTAAATCAAATCATATATGGTGGACTGACTTTCAAATTTTTTAGATTTTCTAGTTGCTATTAATCGTGCTTTCATAGGCCAAAATAAATTTCTGATTGGACAAAATTGGCATACTTTGGGAGTAAGATGAACTTTCATGTCGGTATGCAATTAATTTGAAGATCAAAAGTATTGGATTTTGTATATACTAAACTTACCAAAGGTTGATGGAACCAAATAGATTGTAGAAGTTATTGACGGTTCATCCCTTATAATTTAGATGGAGAATCGGTGACAAAGCGCTCTATCTCCAAGATAAGGTAGGACAGAGGAGAGTTAAGGTGAGGTGGTTTCATCGAGGC